ACACTTCACCACTTTCCGTAACTAGCGAGTATCCAACACGTTCTGTCCAACAAGTACTAGGCGATATCGAAGTTCTGTAGAAAGACTTTTTGCCACTGATGTTTCGTATGGCAGCCGGGGCCGACGGCTTAACGTGCTCTCTAATGTGTTAAGAATGGTCACCCCATCCATAGAATGACCTGGCTAGGGTTTCTTAACTTTGCAATATGTCAACCTACACAGTTACCAATTAGCAACGGAGACCCTTGGTAAAATAACGTAAAATATTCGTGAAATATATTATAAACTAGTACATTCATTAAAATTTTACTCGCCACCTAGTGGTACATAGGCAATTCCTTTGTTAAAATGTTTCTGTGTTCCTTGAAAAAAAAACAACAGAATCGCGTCTATAATTAGGATGGAGCCCGGATATATGGGGGCGCGGGGATGAACCTAAAAAAGTAGCTCTATCGCATCTGTCTGGTAATCTATCCGGAGCGTAGGCATAATTCCGAATAACTGATCAAAAAGTAAAGCACCCTATTCAATTTGATGTAACGACCGGGCAGGGGTGGACCTTGTAAATCAATGGTTCTATCAATCTGTATGCGTCTAGCCGGACGTCAATGGTAATGCATCGCAACCCCCCTTACACCCACCCCGCGCACTTGCAATCCATACGTACGATGAGTACTCTTAATTAACCAGACGCTGTTTTAAAAGGGTTGCAAGAGAAATTCAGTAGATATATTTTTTAGAATAAGGAGGAAACGGGCAGTCGGATTTTCAATTCAATTTCAAATTTTTCGAAGCATAGCTCTCCAACGATGAATATATCAACATAATTAGTACATTATTAGTAATTTGTAACCCATAGTACAAGCTCTGCTTAGTTCGGGACTAGATGGCGTTGTGGTGTATGTGGTAAATATTATTATTATTATTAATTATCGGGAATCAGCAAAAAAAATGCGCGTTTGTATCTCCTATGTTGATAGTAACTTTTGCATCAGGTGAGCTGCCTATCGTCGTCTGCCCCCTCTAACTACAAAAACAAAATAAATGGCGTCGACTCAAAATACCTAAAATAAAATGTGGACATTGTGTGAAACTTTCCAATGTAACAAATCAAAGATATAAAATCACCAAAAAAGGTGTTTAAAATAATGTGCTAAAAATAATAGTACCGTAGGTCCTCTAAGAGAGCTTCCAAGACATCATGACTGAACCATACTTTTACGTTATACGAGTATATGGCAAATGAGCACCTAATATAAATCTGGTGGGAAGTGACTGAAGTGCGCCCATGAACACCGTGCAACTCACAAGACACAAGTGTCTTGCTATCCCTTAAGTCCCCCCCCCCCCCCTTCTAATATTAGGCGATGATCGTTTGACTGACTCGGTGGTGGCAGTGGTAACGTATGCTGACTGCTGTGCTGAGGTCTCGAGTCAGACCAAATGTTTATTTGATCTGCAAATGGTTGTGTCGAAGTATAGGTGTTTCTAAATATGTATGTATGTAAGCAAAAACCTCTTTTCTAAAACGAGGCCTATGTCCAGCAGTGGACTATTAAAGGCTGTTGTTGTGATGTGATTATGTAATAAAAAAAAAAGTATATAAGTATTTTATCACTCAATCTAGCTTTCATAATACAAGCTCTGCTTAGTTTTTTAACTAGAAGGCGATTCATTTTTATTTACATAGACAGATATGCGAGACTCGAGGTAACCATTTTGTGAAAGTCAAACAAAAGTGCCGTTACGATGACTAAGATACATAACACTTTTGCAACAGCAAGGGGTCTACGCAATTATTAAAACAAGCCACCTGGACACCAGCTGGTAATAAAAGAAATCTAGCCAGAAAAGTACTAGAGGTACCTTAAAAACATTTTTTTTCAAGATTTTACTAGTTTGTCGGCAATTAGTATGTATGTTTGTGCAAAATTACATATTTCTAGCACTAATACTCTGTGAGATATCGTGTGGACAGACGGACGGAAATGACGAAATTATAAAGGTTCTATTTTTGAAATTTTAGCTACGAAACCCTAAAAATGATGGTTGCCTTATGACTTTGTTACGCTCTTTAAACTATTAAAGCGAATCGTAAGCATATTGATTATTTATACCTTTCTTTCATAAAAATAAAATATTGCTATGTAACTGTATTGATGGGAAAGCATTGAATTATATTTAGTTAAAGCTATTGTATATAATATTAAAGTGAATTTATAAAGTACTAACGTAGGAGTATCTCGGGGGGCGTTTCTATGGATACCAATCAAGAAATCAATAAAATCTCCGCCAACATCTAATAATATTTGCTCTACTTAAATACAAGTAATTATTCTCGAATGTTATGATTATAATTTTATGAAATGTAATTTTTTTTGGAGTCGATTCGATTTTCTTCAATTATCAGGACATATCAGGAATTGTATCATCATCATCATCAGCCTGTCAATAACAATATTTGTATAATTTATCTATAATATATAAGTATGTTTATCAGCAGTCTGTTACCATAATACAGGCTCTACCTAGTTTGGGATCAGACGGCTGTGTGTAAGACATCTGTAATTATAATATAACACCTAAGGTTAAGCGAATACCGGTGTAAGGGTGTATTAAATCATCGAAACATAATACTGTTACCAATTGTTCCTTAGTTATCGGTATTCCATTGGATAAATAGTTAAAGATTCTTGTACAAGATTTAAAAAAAATACTAAGAAAGTTATTGTGTAATAAAAATATCCCGAAACTCTTATAGATAGGTAATAAAAGAGATATCTGATTAGTTAAGATTACAGAACTTTCTAGTAGCATAGCGTAACATAGTTACATTCTGTGTGACGTCATTCATATGAATATATGCGAAGAAGCAGCCGCTCGCAGTTATTTAATACTTATGAATAAAAAAAACTAAAATTTTTCTCCTGTTTCTGGAAATGGAAACCATGTGAGAGCTAACCTTCGCCACAAATGGGCCGACTCGAGCTGACCGATAAATTATATTTACTTTTCTGTAAGTAAATCTTTTCAGATATTTTTCCAAGTCGGACTTTACAGCTAGAAGGAGACGGGCATTTCCTAAGACTCACTCTGGGAAGAAAACGCCGAATCAAACCACAGAGGTGTCTTTTTTTAAAGTCCGTAAACAAAGTTAAATAAAACTGTGCGAGTACAGTATAGGGTCTGGATAGGCGTTTTGAAGGAAATGACCAATAGTTTTGAGTGGGCATGTCCATACAGTCGGCCTAATACAGGGCATCACAGAAAATCGATGTCAAATAATTATTTCATTACTTTTTAACGACAGAGCGAGGGGGAGGACAATTCTGGGGATGAGGAGGTGAAATGGCTGCAACTTATTTGAGACTCTAGAGTTTGCAGATGTGCATTAGTGGTGGTAATCACTTACCAGCAAATTATCCATTTGCTTGTTCTATTCACTATAGCATAAAAAACTTAGATTTGTTAGTACTCACCGTACTCTCCGCAAATCCTGGGATGGTTCCACCCAAGTGCCGAATAGCCTGCCTTGACAGGAGTGGTCATGATACCAAACTCATAGAAACCAGAATTTCCCTCGCAGCATATGACCAGGATCTTGCCCTGCGACGGCAGCGACTGGTTCCTCATAGCTACGAACATGGTATCGATGTGGTTGCCATCGCTAGTTAGCAACTTCGAACGCTGACCGTCGAAGTCTTACCACCCGGTGCGTTCTACCTTGGAATAGTGGTCCCCTGGACAGAAAAAAAAGTTTACTTCAAGAGGTCTTGTAAAGAATTACATTCAGTAACTAATTCAGTAACATTGACTTGATTGCTCAGCTAGCGTAGTGGTTTAAGCGGACACTTCGCCGCTTCTACTGCGCTGAGTGTTTGTGCGTTCGACCTCCGCATGGGTCAACACTTTGTGTGATCCACAAATTTTTGTTCTAAGTCTGGATGTTCTTTGTGTCCGTTCCTTTTGTAAAGACCAGGACAGCAGTGTGGAAAAATGTATCTAGTGTCTACAACTCTTACATGCAGAAGAATTACGAATCACATAGACATATATTTGCCAATTTACTTACACAGCATGCTTTGGAGTATCGCCATCGACCCGGGATAGATAAGCCGCAAGCCAAAGGTGTGAGTTACCACGTACGCCAACACTTGGATTATGACTCGCTGGTATCCAGGTAATTCTGAATTAGCTGTCGTGTTGAAGGGGTTTTGTTCAAACCAAGGCGCCCTGAATACGATATATTTATTATTCACCATTCTGGCAAGTTCATAAACTTATACAGAATATAGAAACTTACCTTCCACTTGATTTCATGCTAAATGTAGTAGGCCACGCATGGAATTCAAATCAAACTGTCTGATGCCACTCAAATACACCTTCTTACATATTCATTGAGCTTGACAGGGCTTGCAAAAACTTTACATATTTAGGGTTAGTGGACCGTCCATATGCTCTTAGGATGAAAGAGAAAGCCAATATGCATCCAATGCTGCTGAAGACACGGCCAATAAGTCTCGTCTCATCAATTGTGAAGAAATCTCTTTTGTAAATGTACATACACATGAATGGTGACGTATACAAGGTAATGTTTAGAATAGTGTTAGCCTGAAACAATATTTTCATCTATAGTATACTGGCAGAATTGGAAGAAAAAAATGGAGATGGACAGGGCATATGCTCCGTTGTAAGAATGAAAAATGGAGCAAACAAGTAATGGTCTGTATCCAAGAGATGGGTCAAGGAGCCGAGGTCGCAAAGTGAGGAAGATGGGAATGATGATCTGAAATTGACTCTAGGTCCCCTTTGGCTAAGGATTGCAACCAACAGGAAACAGTGGAAGACGTTGGAGGAGGCCTATGCCGTAAGGCACACCGAACTTAGGGACCATATTATGACTAATGTACTAGGGACTATTGAGTAGTATGAAAAACTGTATAACTTCGGAATTAAAGGCTTATTATTATTATATATACTGGCAGAATTCAGCATATGTCAAATAGTTCATATATTTTCAATCACACATAGAAACTATGAATAATAATGAAATAATGTATTCAATTTATGTATTTGTAAGTTACATAGGTCATTAATTATAAGGTAAAAATAAGTGTTTACATAGAATGGGGTTAAATCAGTATTTAATTGTATTAAACATTAAAAAAGATAGAAACTGCAAAATTTCTAAAATAAATATGGAGACAATTAGTTTTTATTATGATCAATCAAATGGTATTTGAGTTCTGTAATCTAAAGTGTATTCAATATTTATAAGTATTATTATTTTTCAAGATTCTTACCATAGTTTATGACTTTGTCACCCCACTTCTCCATACCCTGTGCTTCATATAAAGCCTAAAATAAAAATATAAATATCAGTTGGCGTCTTTAATACAAAAATAGCAAGTAGAAAAACACTGGAGCTAGCGGGGGACCTGTGTTCCAATTTGATTATGATAACCTCCCGATGATAAATCCTATAAGTGTGAATAAGACACTATTCGTACACATATTCTTAATCTATCACCACAAAGACAGTTTAATTTCTTCCTGGGACTTCCCGAGTGTCATAACTCGGTGTGTTCGTGGGTCTCTGCTGTGGATCCTGGTGTACAGGAGTTACAGTGGTGGGCGTGTGGGTGGGATTAGTAAAAATCCATCACCACACAGACAAATCACCATGGTTCAGCACCATCATGGTTTATGAGCAGTTTAATTATCATGGCACAGGTGTTGGAGTTAGTTGGCTGTTTAAATGTTTGAACTCAACTTGTTGAAATAAAGCCAATTAGTTTGTAGTACATTCTTAAGAAAAGAACTTTAAAAATAGAACTGCAAATTTGAGTTGTATTCCCTTTACGTTTCTCATGATGCAGGTGCATTGATAACAATGATCCTTTTTTGTTTTACACACTTTTATTAGCTTGTCATGTATGTGTGTAACGGAATCTTTGAATGTATTTTGGACCCACTTTAAAATGTCAAATTAAATTGAAACTATTAAGGACCAATGACAATAAAAAATTTTTGGCCGATTATCCTGATCAGCATCTTCGGCTTCTTCCATAACTGCAGCATAATGCCCATGTATGTGCCATATTAGGTACCGGTTCATGTCATTGTGTTTCGTTGTGTTTTTATTTTTCATTTAATAACATAGTTATAAGTCAAATTGTTACTAACACTATGAGTTTTGTTACTCGATGAGAAATGAATAAATAAAAAAATAACTAAAAATATGGTGGCGACTTTTGTTACATACTAAGAGGTCTGTGTTAAGGCATGTGTGACATATTTACTTGTTACTTTTTAAGTCTTCACTGGAAAATCATCATCAACAATTATTAAATAAGCAAAACTAAATTATAGTTAAAAAATAAAAAACACGCTTTGTTACAAACCAACTAAAAAGTAGCAAAGTTCAAAAATAAAAATAATTTTATCATAAAAAGCATGGCGTACTTTTCAAGATATGTTATAATGTAACTAGCTGAGACCCGCGGTGTTACCCGCGTTTGTTGTTATAACGGCGGGCAACGCCGCGGGAGGAAACTAGTCTAAAAAAAGTAGCCTAAGTTACTCCTTATGTCATCAGCTATCTGCCAGCGAAAGTCCCGTCGAAATCGGTCCAGCCGTTCCAGAGATTACCCGGAACAAACAGACAGACAGACAAAAATTGTAAAAAATGTTATTTTGGCATATGTACCGTGTAAACATACATATGCATTTAGTAAAAAGCGGTTATTTTAATATTACAAACAGACACTCCAATTTTATTTATTTGTATAGATAACTTATACCAATATCTATTGTCAATAAAATATTTTTACAATATTTGAGATCTGTGCTAGATCTCAAATATAACGCATTTTTATGATAAAATGATTATCTTTTAAAACTTATTGAAAATTATTTTCTACTTTTTAGTTCAGCTAGTCACAAGTGTTTTCAAAAAAATAATTAAATTGTCATATAATAAAGTTAATTACATAATATACCTTTGACACAATTATAGTATATTTTTAAAGACTTAGCTTTGACACAGGTTCGTCTACACCCAGACTAGGCCCACTGTTAGGAATTGTGTTTGGCACACACATCACACCTTTTTATCTTTACACTGAGGATGATGCTGATCATAGATATAAAACAAAACCTACTGAAGATTAACTAAACAAGCAGAAAATTGTTTTAGAAACACACAAAATAAATTATAGAAAGAAAAAACAAGGAAAATATGGGACACATTAAACCTAATGAAATTTATTGGTAATTTCCCTTCACTTCTGTAATAGATAGGTATTTTATTAATTTGTTATGCAAGTAAATATATGGGGCAACTTACATCTTGAGGTCCTTCTTTGTACACTTTATACAGCCGCGGAGGAAAATAGACACTTCCAAAGTAATTTCATCTCGAATATATGGATATTAAAATTTCACTAGTTTTACAGATAGAATTAAATTATATTAAACACGTTTATTTGTAATTCACTATTGTAGGATACCGGCTAACTCACACAACAGTACGGATTTTATTTATACAAATATGTATTTTATTTAATTAATTTTACCAACAATTTACATTGACTGGCACTTTTAAGTAAATATATTATTTTGTAGTTTTAAATTATGAATGAAATACAGTCATTTGACAAATCACTGCCCATAAGTTCATAATAGACAACTATTATAGAGCAACCAGAGCAATAGAGTAATAAAATAGACGTAGACGGTCTATTCGTTTAAAAACTGACACTGCCAGCCACAGCTTTTTTGGAATCTTGTTGTGAATATTTCTTGCGTTAATAATTTTTCGACACTTGTTGCGCAAGTAAAAGCGAACGTAAACAACTTACGTACGAACGCTGAATACCTCTGTCGTCAGTATAATTTCAAACCAAAACTCCCACACATACATTTCTAAGAGTCTGCGCGGTATGCGCCACAACCAATGTCGCCATCTATACATTCTAGATTTACAAAGTTAGAGTTATTCATGAAAGTTTCATTTTTAAATTTAGTTTCTTAATGGAGGGCATTTTTTTTGTTCTTTATTAAGACAACTCCCGCATTAGGAATATATATTCTGTGACGCGGGGGACTTTATAAACATGCATGAAACGGACACAAAGAACTCAGAATTCAGAAAACTGATAAGAATGAAATCGGAGAGTGCAGTTTTACTACTATGTTAGATAAAAATTTAAATCATCAAGATCTAGTAAGAGTACATATATGCGATATTATAGTAAAAATGTACTAAATAATTCAATGTTGACCCATTCTCGTCCACAGAAAGGGTAAAAATAGTAAGATTTTATGCGATTAGAAAGAAAAGTATGATCATGCGTTCAACGTAGTTCAAATAATAATTAAAATAATTTGAACTTAATTCTAAGCGTCTACAGTGACAGTATAGCAATTTGATATCTTAAAGCAGATTTGATGATAAAATAATCGAGTGAAAACGGCATTCTTTTGTGGCTATTCACTAAGATTCATTGCTTGTGTAGTTCACAAACTGCGAACTATTACTTAAGACTACTATTATTTGAGATAGAACACTAAAATTCTATCTCATATAATTTGTTTTAATGAGTCCAACATATTGCGCTTAATTACGATAATCTATCAAACAAGCCAGGATCTTTAGGGTCTTTTTAATTCAGTTACCGTTAAAGAGTGTTTTTTACTGATCTATAATTTATAACTTTACTTGTTAAAAGTAAAATTATTAAACATAATCACGTATAAACACGTGCAATAGAGATGAAACGTATTGTTTTTGCTAATAATATTCTCCACAGAATAAGGGTAAAAATACTGTAAAGCGGCAATAAAACATCCTAGACCTATTTGGAGAAGGGGTCGATCAATATTCCGTAGGGTTGGGACATACATATTGTCATTTCCAAATATCGTTAGAGAACTTTTCGAATTTTATTAAATTATTTTATCGAAGTCTTCGCTCGTTGCTAATTTCATTATGGTAACACGAAGCCTAAGGATTTACAACGAAAACCTCCTGGTAACTGATATGCTTAGCAGATATAGCAAAGAACAATCTATTGTTATATTCAATTAGTGACACACCTCCTCAATTTATGTCTTTTTGAGCCCATCATGTCTAACTTTTAAATTAATACCCTATCTTTCTACCACACCTAATTTTGTGTATTAAATTTGTTTAAATATCTTTTATATGAATAAGAACCGTTGGGCTGGTCCTATCGAGGTAAGGATTACTTTTACCATCAATCACTAGTAAACTATCAATTTTTTTTTAAATTCGTAATAAATAAATAAGACCAAAA